AGGTCTTGAATTATGAAAAAATATTTTGATAGTGGAATGAATACAGAATTTCAGTTCAAAATAAAATATTTGACATTGAAATGGAAATTTTGTGTTTTAGGATAATGATTATGAGCTCTCAAAGAAAAAGGTTTAACTTTCTTTTATACTGAAATACGACTATGGGGACAATTGATTTTAAATTACCTTAATTAATCTTAAACTGAATATATTATTACAGTATTATATAGATTATGCAATCATCATAAGTAAATTTTAAAGAGAGCTCATAGTTATGGTACACTGATGGGTCCAAATTCTAAGACGACTGCGCTGGAGTAGGAATTGTAGGGCCAAATTTGTAGAAGGTAGTAGTAATGCGCCAAATAATTTCCATTTTTCAGGAGGACCGTCCGTAGTAGAATTTGTCCACTCGTGTTCTCAACATATGGATCCTCTCAATCGACGGCGGCGCTGGAGCAGGTATTGTAGGATCAAATTTCTAGAAGGCAGTAGTAATGGGCGAAATGGTTTTAGTTTTTCAGGCGGAGTCTACGGTGTAGAACTATTCGTTAAAGAATGTGTACGTAGGAGCACTCGCGGCATTAAAATATGCATCCTTTTAGACAGTCAAGGGGATCTGAAATTACTAATGAATGCCATTCAACATTTTAATCGAAGTTAATTAGGAACTGCTCCAATCTTCTCAACATAATACCGACGAGAAATTCTGTGACACTATGGATACCGTCAGATGAGAGGCATAATAGGTAATGAAATGAAGGATGTTTGGCCAAAAAGCGGGAAAAAACAGCTTTCATAGGCTTGGAACCCATTTCCGGTGTTAACAACAGCTTCAAACTAGCTTAGTACGCGAAAGGGAAAAACAACATATAAAGGCTGAAGCTGTTCTAAACTTTAGCAGAACAGATATCAAATTCTACAAGGAACTGCTAACAGGCTACTGTAGATTGCAATACAAACGATTTCTGCCGAGACTGTTAAGAGCAATAGGAAACAGCAGAACACGTTTTATACGACTATCCAACCGCTCAGATAATGATAGTTCATATGAAATATCAGATAATTCAATATCTAAACTAAAATTGTATACTAACAACTGATTTTTAGTAGTACGTTTGCTTCATTCGAGAACAAACATACTTCTTTCTTATAGAGCCATGACAAAGCTCCAGTTAGCAGATAACTGGAGTTTTGGCAAAGTTCTTAAATGGCGAGAATGTCTGATCACCGTTGTGGACACAAAAATTGACAAATCCAGATTTGAAATTATCGTTCTCAAACAATTTGTTCCCAGAATCGGCCATTAATCCTATTTGATATTTTTATTGTAAATAATTGTTGCTGATATTCGATTTCACCAATAAACTAATGTATTTAATAAGACTTATATTATATTCATTGCTTAATTTATTGACAAGCAAATTTTAAAAACTGCAATTTTAATTCTATAAGACTCTTTAATTCTTTAAGTACTTTTATTTGATGGATGGCTTTAAACCACTATTTAGATCATTATGTCTAGTCATAATCTCTCCATAATATCCTTTTTTCTGAAGGTACAAAGTTAATATGGAGTTGCTTTATATAACAAGATCTGTGAAACAGTGAAAGGAGCATTAGGTGAACCTCTATGATTATTTTTGATCTTAGTCTGTGGGTTAAAGCATAATTAGGCGTGGTGATTTGTTACCTAATCGAGCTATGTTTTACTAATGGTTTTTTTGACAGCAGCGGATGAGTATACGAGAAGAGTTTTCTAATTCTCTATGAACGTGATAGCAAGAGAGGATGTAGAACATATGTACCAATGTTAAGTTGATGGTAAACATATTTAAACTCAGATTGGTGGCATTTAGAGCCCCAAACCTGCTGTTCTTCTGCGCATACACCCCATACCCACAATAGGTTCATAATAACAAAGTACGTCTTAAGGAATTCTCCGAATTAAAAAGAGGCACTAGGATATAGGGAAATCATTGGAAGATTAAAATATGATTTGTAAGCGATAAAAGACATGGCAGCTACAATCAGGACTACTTATCTATATGTGCTGTACCATCTGCATTTTGAAAAGCTATAGTAAAATTTATTAAAAAATTATATATAAATTCTTGAATCATATAATTGAAAAATTTTTTCTTTCTTATTTTAAAAAAATCAAAAGAATTATAAAATTTCCAGACCACACAGAAAATTTTCTACGTAAATGATTTTGTAAATACCACATATTTTGCACTGCATTTCTTTGAATACTACATAACTTAATTTTTTATTAACTAGGAATTCATTAAAAAAAATTAAAAAATATTTAGTATTTTTTTCCAGTTTTTTGAAGTTTTTTGTAACGACTTTTGTTAAACGCTCGAGATTGACGTTGTTATGGTGACGTGCTCCACCTGCGCTGATGCAAAAATGCACCTGGCATATTAAAATAATCAAGTCATGCACACTCTTATCTTCTTCTTTTATTCCACCCGTAGAATAACTGCAGGACACCGTCTTTTGATTTATATTCCTTGATGTCCTTGTTTGTATCGCAACTGCTTTACTTAGCACTGACAACTGTAGTTCAGATAAATGAGAGCAAAAAATAAAATTTTATGATTTTGCAATTTTTATTTTGCAGCTGTGCGTGTCCGATTTTTGCACTGTGCATGCGAGGAGAAGTGATGGATTTTATCCTGTTTATTTTACACCTGCAACTATTTTTGATAGATACTTTGATTCCCTTGAAAACATTACACTTTTAAAAAAAAATGAATAACTGACTCTCAAGTAATATATAGTCAGGCATTATTAATTTTGTTATTATGCTGTCGATTGCTTATTTATTATTATAATAAATTCTGGTAATACACAGAATATAAAATAATTTTAATTGATCAAAACTATTTTTAAACAATTTTTTATTTATTTTGTTTTTATATACATAAATTTATAATATTTTTGTTGGTTGTACATAAATCACTTTATTGTTAAATAAAAATTAATTTTTTTATTTTTTAAAGTTTTGTTTGATTTTGCACATTGAAATAATGTGCAATAGAAAATAAAAAACAAAAAAAAAAATTTTCTTCATATTCTCCAGATTTAGTCCCCTGTGACTATTTTCTGTTTCCAAAACTAAAGAAATGGCTGGGCGGTAAGAGATTTGAGTCGAATAAAGAAGTCATTACTGAAACAAACGCGTATTATGAGAGCTTTAAGAAAACCTATTATTTGGAGGATATAAGAAAATTAGAAAAACGCTGGACTAAATATATCGAGCTAAAAGGTGATTATGTAGAAAAATAAAATGTTTATTTGCCGAAAAAAATTTGTTTTATTCAAAAAGTCACTGACTTATCAAACAGCCCTTGTAAAATAATATATATATAATGTGAATATTGTAAGTTTTGTTGTATTCATTATGCTTGAATAATAAGTTGCTAAAGGGGTGGTACGAACAGGTTGTGTGTGTCCTAACGTTCAATAAATAACTTAAACCAAATGGAGTAGGTAACGAACAAGAGACAGCAAGATAGGGAGTGGTGGTAAAGAAATAGTGAGTGAATAGTTTTGGTGATGTCCAATGTGGATCACTGATGCTAAGACCCACCCACAAGACCAGCAAGAATTCCGGGCTTGCCACCGTGCCATGGAGGGCATCTGAAGACCCGATCTTAACAACAAGTTTGACACAATATACTTTATTTTTATTTATTATATTTATTTTTATTATTTAGAATGAATCGAAATACAAAACCTGTTAATAAATGTAAAGCATGTTAGTGGTATTTTTTCTAGAGAGGATTAATGCTTCATTTCTCATAAAATGTTTATTTAAAAATAAAAAATTGGCTAATAATAAAACATATCACTCCGTAATATATTTTAGAGTACATGAATATTTTTTAAATCAATATTTAATAATATCAATTATCAATCATGGAATAGATTACATCAGCAAATTTTACAAAAAAAACCTATCAACTAAAAATTTTATTTATCAACTTCGAAATGCAAGTTTAAAAATTTTACTTTAGTAAATAATTAAATTAAATATAATATAGGTTATATATGTATATCTAATCATATATTTACATTTTAATGAATAAATACATTTGTTATTTTAAAAATAGCTTTTATATTTCTTTTAGTGCTGTTACTTGATACTTTGGTTATTGCTTTTTTAAATGTATATGCGCCCTACGCAGTCTACTGATTGCAAAGGTAAGAGAAGTAGCAAAATTTATTTGATCTTAATTAAATGTGAGTAATATTTATTGTATCAATTATGTTTTATGCAATTATTTGCAAAAGAATGGACAATAATCCACTGTGACTTAAAAAAATTGCTAAGTTATCCATGGTTTTTTAAGTTGACGTGACGAATTGAAGCTCTTATTAAAGCTGAGATCCGCTATGCTATCCTCAAGAGAGTTTTCTAAGTCAAACTAACAAATTCAAGCTCTTATTACATCTATGAATTCTTCTTGGCTATACATCCCAGATCTTATTCGACTCAATCAAAGTTAGAAGAGGATTAATTCGTTTCCTGCAAATCACACAACACGAGCAAATAAGCTGCACTGAAGTTTACTCTTCATTTTACAAAACCTGCAATCCCGGTGTCTTCAGGCTTCATTTGTTAAATTTGCTAGTTAACAAGAATATTTCCAGTTAAGAAACGAGTGATTATTCTCGACATTATCATATTTAAAGTGAGAAGTCTCCGTTCTGTTCTTTGGACTATCGCAGGACTTCTGAGATCACTCAGGCTTTCTTGAATATCTTATATTCTATGTTTCTAAGCATTCTGAGTTCACTCAAGCTTTCTTGAATCCATTATATGCTGTTCTTCTAAGTACTTCTTCTGTTTAAGAGGTAAGAAGTGAGTTATTTGTAAAAAAAGTTTTCATCTCGCCTCTCAAGCTTTTCAGCTTTTTCGTTGCGGTCAAATCTCTCATTTCTCAAATCTCTTAAATCTCACCAGTTATGTTGACGACTGCTACTTTATTTACAGCAGCCAACTAAGATACTAGAGTTGTCCAGCTGTTGATCAATTTGGATTAAGTAAATCATTATTGAAAGAATTTTATAGCCGCCTGCCTCTCCGAATCTATAAAAGCGATGAAGTTTTATATAGCATATATTAGAATTAATGGCACGCACTTCTACCTGAAAAACTGGAGGAAAAGTTCTCAATTGATTGTTTCATTGTCATATCATTGTCCATTTTCATGCTTTGATCCATCGTTGAACCCCACCGCTGGAAACTTCCCGTTCTTCCATTCACTTCTTTTGGGTAAATCGTTTGGAAGCTACATAACGAGAAGTGTTTTAAAGTAGTATATCTAAATCGGGAGAAAGAGTTATTACGGGTATTATGTCAAGACATTGGAATAAATGAAACACAATTTGACTTACTTTTCTTATTCTTAAAATATTGTGCAATTAGTTGAAACTTCATTCGTTCTTTTTAAATTACGTTTTTTGGAATCAAAAATATCTAGAAGTAATTCACCTAGTCAATAATGAATATATTTTCAATGTCTGGCCTAGTAATTGTGAGGGCACAGCTTCATCTTAAAGTATGCGCCAATTTGAAATAATATTCTTGTAAGGTTTATATTAAAGATATCTCTAGTATCGTCAGTTCAGTCAAATGGCGCTATCCTACCAGGTCTCGATATTGACGTAAGAAGTGTTTAAGTATCCTTTTCCCTCTTCTTGTCTGTAACTTCTGCATATCTGGAATTTATAATTCTGCAAATTTATAATTTTTCGGCATGGGTGCTCTGTCTAGTAGGACTTTCGTTCTTGATGGATTGCAGTTGGGTTATATTTGGTGTTATTTTTCATTGTTGAAATTATATTCAAAATACTTGTAACTATTTTCAGTTTCAAAACCTCTTCAGTCAAGTGGCACTATCTTATCAGGGCGCTGCATAGAAGTTTTTAATTGTTCTTTTTCCCTCTTCTTGTCTGTAACTTCTGCATATCTGGTGCAAGCAAATTTATAATTTTTCGGCATGGTTACCCTGTCCAACAGGACTTTTGTTCTTGATGGATTGCAGTTGGGTTATATTAGGTAATATTTTTCATTGTGGAAATAATATTCAGTTCCAAAAGCTCTTCAGTCAAATGGTGCTATCCTACCAAGGTGCAGCATTCAGAGGTCTTTAATTGTTCCTTTTTCCTCTTCTTGTCTGTACATTCTGAATATTTGGTGCAAGGAAGTTTCTAATTTTTTGGTATGGGTGCTCTGTCTAATAGGACTTTCTTTCTTGATAGATTGTAGTTGGGCTGTATTAGGTAATATTTTTGATATTTTAATATTGTCAACATTTCATATATAGAATTAATAAATTTTAATTTCATATTAATAAATTTTTAAATACTTTATTATTTAATAATTTATTTTTTTTTTTGTGAGATATAAAGAAGTGATAGAAGAGATATCGCCTCTTGGGCAATTAATATAAAATCATGGCTTATTTGTGCTTATATAAAAAAAATTATATAGAAGAATACATATTGATATTTTTTAGTACAAAATTAAATGAAGTCAGTTATAAATAAAATAATACCGTTTTTCAATTAAATCATTATTTAAATTCTTTAAAAAATATATATGAAATACATTACTATATTTAAAATATTATATATGAACTACCACTATTTTTTATATTTTTAATTTAATATACTTAAATAGTATATATACTCTTTTTACATACTTTCATATACGAGAGCCATTTTTCAGAGCACTTGACTTGTCGCATCAGTAGTGACTCGACGAGTTGACTTTGAAATAAAATGTGCCATAATTACATAAAAATAAAAATGCACGTGCGGTCAATGTTCCACAACATTTCCCACCTATTTTTGACCACAACATAAACTGCACAAAAGTGCAGCACTGCGTAAACATTTAAGCCCTTAACCTCATTGACTGCATAACAGGGAAAAAAAAACACGTAAAGCGAAAATAAAACCAAAATGTTAAATTTGCTGTTGGCAAATTTCATTGCAGTCTTAATGTCATTGTGTCTGTAAACCGAAAACTTCCACAGGCAAGCATTAAACTAAAAAAATATGCTTAAACCGTTCCTTGTGCGAAAAATAAATATGAAAAAAGTATTAAACAGAAAAAAGGGGCGAAACTTGCACACCCTCGTTCAGAGTAATTAACATGTCTCGTAAAATTGCTCTGCAAGGCTAAGCGCTGCATTTGAATACATTATGTGCAGTCAACCGAACGCGCATTTAATGTTCACCACTAATGTGACCAAATGTGAAACTAAAACAAAGGGTTAAGAGTGCAAATATGAAAATAAAATATCAACAATATGTGTACGTCTGCCCTCCGCACAAAGTGTATTAACAACACTGATGTGACATGGCATATAGACCAAAATACTGAAATGCAAAGTTTGCTCTTAACCAACAAAAATGAAATTACCATAATAATTATACTTTGGCTGTGGTAACAGAATGTAACCAAAATGAAAACAACAACACACAAAACACAAACAATTAAAAATAATAAAACACAACAAAAACAATATTGGCACATATATATCAGTTGACAGTTGTGCATCTGTCGTTTTGCCAACACATACACGCAAACAAGTCAATGGCTTAAGTCTTTGGCAGTTAATGTTGCTTTCATAACAGAACTCATGCGAAGAGAAAAACAATGTACTGTAGTGCAGTGTGCTTACTCTTTGTAAACACAGTAATTCGCATTTTAATGTTATGCTCTTAACAGTGGTACATACTTACATACTTCAAACAGAGTTTGTTTCCTAACATTGTTGAGACAGCCAGTTATTAACGTTTAAATGCTATGCACTTAACAGTAAAATGTATTTTGAGGTGAGTTAATAGGTGATCCAAATTTTGTTTATAAACCAACTTATAGTTTCCGCAATTTTCGAAAAAATTTTGTGGTTTTCTATTGCTTCTACAATGAGTAAAATACCAACTTCAACCCTGAGGCATTCTAAGAAAACTTCAGTTTTCATATTTACTTAATTCTCTTCAATAAGTACTGGGTAGATGTTTTACGTGCATAATGTATTCCTTCTCTTTTTATCATTGTTAAATTTATCCGTCATAATAAACGCGTACTTTGTCTTTCTGCCACTGTTTTTCAAAAAAACGTTTAAACGAAATACGCACTTTAAATATAATCTGTGAGCTAAATCGTTATTACTTACCATGCCTCCGCCATTCACAACATATTTATCCGCCAAGTAAATAGGTTCCACATTACTTATACTTATGGACATACTCAGTTCCTGTGCATCCTATGTCGGCCTATTCATAAGCCATAGAAAAATAAAAGTCGTGTGCAGCAGTTAAACTATTCAGGATCCTCCATCCATCAGAATTGGTAATGATCCAATTGAGCAGTGGTGCAGATAAAATCGTCTCGGCCTGACTGAGGAAAGTTAAGTCAGCTTTCGGACAGTTAAGTAATGTGTGGAAGTCTAAGCAAATAAGTACTCGCATTCGAACTCGAACGTTAAATCAATGCAGTATTACGAATGCGAAACGTGGAAAAACTCTGCCTCTATTTAATCGTGCATCCAAACATTTGTAAACAAATGCTTAAAAAAAATATTGAAAATATGGTGACCGGAGAGCATATACAATACTGATCTCTGGGAACACACGGAACAAACACAAGTCGCCATTGATACAGAACGTCCGCGTCTTTGGTGGAAGGACCAGGGAAGCAACGATTTGGGGTGCTCGGTATTATCACTGTCTATAGCAAGCTACTCATCTGATTGGCTGGCGGAGGGTGCTCGTCGCCCCCAAGTACAACTACGTCTGCAATGGACAACTAAATAAGGAATATTTCATTCTATTTCTTTTTCATGTTCTTACGACCTTATTTTTCAATCATCTTTCACTTCACAATGTAAGGTCCGCTCTTGGTCGCATGTGTGCAACTAGAATATCTGACTCTACACTAACATTAGGTAATCGCACAACACGTTTTTCGATCAATAATTTCGCACCATTGGAAGAGTCGTTGAAAATAATTTTCTATCTTTAAATGTTTCCGAGGAAAAAATAAAAAAACCGTAGCCTGGGATGATTCGTATTTATTAAAACATACTTTTTCAGAAGTTATATATATTCGAAGTGATTTTGAAGCTGCACAAAAGCATGGATTCAAGTGGGTTGATGATAGTCGTCCCACAAAAAAAGAATTCTTTTTCGTTTTCAAGGTAATGATTACAATTAGTCCACCTGAAGCACTTTATGTTCAAAGTGATTTTGAAAGTACTTACAAGCATGGATGCAAGTGGGCTGATAACAGTACAGCAAAGAAAGGGTAACCTTTTTTTACTGTGCTGATATCAGCCCACTTGCATCCATGCGTGTAAGTACTTTCAAAGTCACCTTGAACATAAACTGCTTCAGGAGGAGTAATTGTAATCATTTCCTTGAAAACGAAAAAGAATTTTTTTTTTGTGGGACGACTATCATCAACCCACTTGAATCAATGCTTTTGTGTAGCTTCAAAATCACTTCATCTATAAATAACTTCTGAAGAAGTTTGTTTTAAT